CCGCCGCCCCCGGGCCCCTGCCCCCCGCGGGCCGCCCCACAAACTTCCCCGAAAGTTCCCGCAGGCCGCAGGAGCACAACATGGCCGCCTCGGCCCCGCGGCCTGCGAGAGCGCGGCCGCCGCCGCCGCCTCCCGGCCCTGCGGTACCTGTTGGAAAGGGCCGCGGCCCGCCCGTGGGCTCGGCCGGCGGAGGGAGCGGGCTGCGGCCTTTGTCCGGCCCGGCCCCGGCGGGGTGAGCGGCTGCTGTGGCTGCCCCGGGATTGTCTGAGCGCTCCGGCTCTGACCGGCCTCCTGGGGTCTTGCTCCTCGGCTGACGCTGTCGAGGCTGGCCCCGGAGCGGGGCCTGCGAGCCTGAGGTTGTTCACAAGGTGAAGTCTCAGATTTCGGCGTGGATTAAGGAAAATCAGCTCTCGTTTCCATCATAGCTGCAATGTCCGGCAGTGCCTCCACCACCTATTTTGTGTATTTCCAAAGGGAAAGCACAAGGTGTGTTAATACCACCGTCAGGACTCGGTGCTTTGCGCTGAGACTTGAAGCAGCAGCTGCTGCTCTGAGGTGTCACTGTGCCCAAAGGCAGGACAACCCTTTCTAAAACCTACATTAAACTGGATTCTGCCACCTTCCTAGAAAGCCAGTTCCAGCACCCAGCTGGCCTTAACCCCACAAAGTTTTCCCCAGCATCTAAACTGTACTTTGGCTGTGAATTTCAGCTTCTTTGTGCTATGTCCTGCAAATCCAGTGAACGATTACTGGAGCATCAAATTCCAATAACATTTTACACACTGTGTCGTTTCACATAATATTATCATTTTCCCCCTAAAACTTTATAGACTAAACAAATTCTTGTAGGCCTCATGATCTCATAGGCCATATTTTCTAAACCTTTTGTCATTCTTAGGCTCCTCTGGACTCTACATTCCTGCCCAGGTCTGTATCCAGTAATCAGGTTAATTAGGTAACAGATCTGAGCGTGGCATTTGCAGAGTCAGCAACAGCATCACCATGTGGGTTCAGACTCCTCCTGATCCCCTGTAATCCCAGATCCCTTTCAGTGCTGCTCCCTGAACAGCTGTTCCCCCGTTCTTGACAAATTCATGGTGACTTTTTGATTTGTCACTTTTTACGTCACCTCCCTCTGCAAGGGCTGAGATGTCAATAGTTTATTATCTTCCTGCACTTTGCAGTTAAGCTGAGCAATTTTCTGTCCACGGAGCCACCCCTCTCCCCCTTCCTCCAGTCAATGTTGATCCATCAACGCCATGATTATTTTGTTAAAACACACCAATTATTTAAGGATGCCTCTGACTGGCCTCCTGAATCATGGGAAATGCGTTTTCCAGCCTCAGTGTAACCATGTAACCAAATGCAATCACACCTCCTTCGAGTTCTCCTGTGTTAATCAAGATTTTAAATAGTGTTCCAGCAGTTTTCTCCATCTTCTGAATTAAACAGACCTGAAACACATTTCAAGAGCTCTTGGTCTCTGAGCTCTCCATTGCCATCAAGGTTTGTGCTTGACTTCCCTCAGGAGGTTTCTCCTGTCTCCCTGCAGTTACTCTTTCATCCTTTCTGTATTCTGGGAGAAGTTTTTATGGAAGAGAAACAGGAATTTATTGAAGGGTGTGTGAACATCTTCTGAACAACATGCATGACCAACAGATGGGATCAAAATGTGCAAGTGAAGCACAGATTTAAAATTCACAACTGATTTTTGCATTATATTTGCTCTGCCTTCTTTTTCACCTTTACATTTTCCCAAACACTTTTATTCAAAAAAAGAAAATTCATTAACCACAAACTGACCTAAATAATGACTAGTGAGAAGATTATTTCCCCCTAAAGAGACAAGATAAGCTGCTGTGAGATGCTGTTATGCTGCAAATATAAATGGCTGTAACTATGAAGGAAATTACAGACCTGGTTGCAGCTAAGAGAATAAGTTTATTCTGGAGCATTAGTTAGTAACATGTGACTTTTTGGATGTTTTTGCCCCAAGTGGCATTTTTTATTCAGTACAAAATCCCCTAAAACTGAATTTATGAACCATCTCGAATCAAAGCAACGAATCAGAAATTAATCTCCTTTTTGTGTGCCACCGTTTCAATGAGCAAAATTCCATGCTAAAATTTGAATTCTCCTTCTATAAGGAGTCCTTGACTCCAGAGGTAAAGCCATCCAGTGTGCAGACAGAAGCAGGGGCCTACATCAAACCAAAGGTGACCAGCACAGGACGGTCAGTCAGAACAGCCCACACTGAACTTACAGAGTGATGCTCAAATGCTGGGGAATGGTGTGAAAACTGGGAATGTCCTGCAGAGGAGGAGGGCCTGCTCCTGCTATCAGAGATCTGTAGTACTTCAGGAATGTTTTCCTGGACCACCTTCTTGAGCTGAAGTAGATCAGGACATTCCTGAATAAAGGCAGAACAGACCTGAGTCACTCTTGGGTGATTGACTTCTCACCTTGCTGGAACAGGCAATCAGATACATGTTCCTTTCTCATTCCTCTGTGCTAAAATTCATGGGCGTTGGAATGTTGGAGATTCCTTTCCACACATTCTGCTCTCAGCCTGGTTCATGTAACTGTGGAGCAGCCCCACAGTCACGAGTTTAGAGGAAGGGAAATTAGGATTCTGTGTGTGTTGTAGTCATGGCACATATGACCAGTAATATTAATACATATTTTTGTGGCAAAATACCACAAAACACATTTTTGTGTCCTGTACCTGGTGTTTGAAGTGTCCTTCTGCCTTGTTCTATATAACTTTTGGGATGAGTGGATTATTGATCTACAGAAGAGGTTTGTGCTTGGTTAATTTTATAGTTTGTCCTGGGTGGTTCTGTGGTTTGTCCTGGGTAAAAATTGATTTATGTGTCAAATTCAGTATTGATTGCAATAAAACATTTAGAGCTTATTAATTTGGGAAGATGAGGATGAGGAATTTAGGATTCTCATTGAGTCTGTTTATCTGTGCTTCAGTAAAACCTTTGGCTTAGCTACAGCTTCTTACTTGGTCCTTGAGAGTGAAGGAGGTAACTACATGCTCCAGAACTGTATCAAACACAAAACACAGGTACCAGGATACAAGAATGGCCTCCAGGGAGCTTCAGGCATCTATCCCAAAGCAGGAGCTCACACCGGAGCTGTCTGGACTCCCTTGACAGCAAACAGAAAAATGCTGGCACCTCTGGGAGCTGGTGCACTCCATTCTAGGACAGATGTTCAATCAGGTGTTCTAAACCAGAAAATGTATTTCCTCATCTAACTAAAAGGAGATTATTCACAGATTTAGTGCATAAAAAATAAATGGAAATGTATATTTCCACTTAAAACACACTGGCACAGGTTGCCCAGAGAAGTTGTGGACTCCCTGGATCCCTGGAAGTGCCCAAGGCCAGGCTGGACAGGGCTTGGAGCAGCCTGGGACAGTGGATGGTGTCCCTGCCATGGCAGGGGGTGGCACTGGATGAACCTGAAGGTCTCTTTCAACCCAAACCATCCTGAGATTCTACGAGACACCAGGTTTTCAGCACAAGTAACAGGAACAGTAATTCTGTTAATGCTGTTTAGGACACTTTGCTCAGCTGGGCCTTCAAGGGTGGCTGCCCTGAAAGGCAGAACACACAACCCCAAAATCTGCCAACAGCCTCGTCTGGCCCTGGCTCCCTCTGACCCAGGACTGGGCTGGACAGAACACGTTTTACACTCTGAACACTAAATCCTGCCTTTCTCAAGCCCATCCTGTGAGAAACCTGCAGTTCCCACTGGCTGTGAGCTCGGAGCCAGCTGGAAGGAAG